CTCAGAGTCTGCGCCTCCTTCCCGATTGAAAACGCCAACCGCGCCCTCAGCCACCAGCCCACTCCGCATGCACTCCTCACCTCAGTATTTGACTTCAGCACTGCGCCTCCTCTGAGTGTCGGTATGCATTTCTCTTTCCTCCTAGTTGTAGGACTTCCACTCAGCCAGCCTTCCTGTGGTTCTGGGTGATGTCCATTCCGTCTTTTAGTTTCACTTTTGAAGTGTACGCTTTTATTATTATAGATCTTTATCTTTCCCATCTGAGCAGTTTGGAACATTACATGCAGTGGCAGAAAGAACGATGCTAAAGAGTCAGGACTCTCGGGCTCAGGGACATCGGACAAGGCCCTTAACTCTCTGACCCTCAGTTTACTCACCTGCAAAATGGAAAGGTCACCTCCATGCCTGTCACAGGAATGCTCTGATGGAAATGCCTGCTGTGTGGCTGACACATATGTGTGCAGAATGTAAGGTTTGTCAGCTCCACAAAACAGGACTAACATGGTGTTGCCTTGCAGAACTCTCTCAGGAACTTAATTGCAACTTAGAAAAATGGTTCTCATTTTGCATTATCAATGATTTTCTTAAAATTGGGTTTCCCATGAGGTTCCTGTCTAAGCTAGCAAAAAAATCATAGAATTTTTCCTGCTGGATGAGATCGTGGAGATGAAGGCCACACAGTTGAGCGTAGCTAAGCCCAAATTCACAAACACCCTGACCACATCTTCCCACCCCCCTCAGTTTGTGGATAAAGAAGCTGAGACTTAGAGGAGGGAAATCACCCTAGGTCTCACAGGGAGTGAAGGATAGAGCTCAGACCCGCTCCCAACTGGCGACCTGGCTTTCCCCCTGCACCACAGCGCTGCCTAGCGGCCACTCTCCCTAACTGCTGCTTTCACATGCTAGGGCAGTGATGGCGAACCTTTTGAGCTCAGCGTGTCAGCATTTTGAAAAACCCTAACTTAACTCTGGTGCCGTGTCACATATAGAAATTTTTTGATATTTGCGACCATAGTAAAACAAAGACTTATATTTTTGATATTTATTTTATATATTTAAATGCCATTTAACAAAGAAAAATCAACCAAAAAAAATGAGTTCACGTATCAGCTCTGACATGCGTGTCATAGGTTCGCCATCACTGTGCTAGGGTAACATCCCTGCCTCACCCAAGACATTGAGGGGCGGCGTCCCCATCAAAAAGGTGCTGGGACAGCGTGGGGCCTGCTGGGGGGAGGGTACATGGAGGAGTGGGGAATAAATGCTTGTGATGGACAGTTGGTAGGGAAAAAGCAATTCATAGAACTATATTTTTAAAAACTACATATACAGCATAACATCAATATTTAATATAGACGTGACTGGAGGGAAAACCCACAGTCTAGTAGTGGGTATCTCTGAAGATTGGGATGACAGGTGATTTCTATTGTCTTTTATTATTAGAAACACACAGAAACTTCTCTTCAGCTAAGACTTTTCTGTTCCCTCATTTAAAACACAAGGAAGAGTGACCTCCTCTTTTAATTCCCAGGCCCTCAGCGTCTTAATCATTTTCTCGTTTCACCAAGAAGCCCCCTCAGGCAGACCTCCTCTTGAAGGCTTCCCCGCCCACCTCCTCTGCACGTACATGGCCGCTCAGACCTCCTTCCCCAAGAGCCTGTGTCTTAGTGTCACAAAGCCGACAGCTGCGGCAGAATCATGGCTCAAAGCTGTGCCCGCTCAGTTATTACTGTTCATTCATCTCCTGGGTAAAGCTTTTCTCCCTCACCTACGACTTCACTGAGAGGCAGTTGGGAGGACATTTTATAAAATACAAGTAATTCAACTTAACTCTGATGAGAAAAAGCAGTCCTCACTTCCTTGATATAATCAAGCACCCTTCTCTAGTTTAAATGTCACTTGAAAAATCCTTATTGGAATATGACACAAATGGGTCAAAATGCTTTCCTGGCATTTTAAACCAAGTTCTAGAGCTGTGTCTTTCTGGAAAGGCAATTTGATCAGGAAGGTTTTGAGCTTGGGCTGAGTCCCTTTTGGCTGTGTGGCCTCGGACAAGTCTCTTAACCTCTCTGAGCTGCAGTTTTTCTCAAATATAAAGTGAAAATAATTATATCTACCTCAGATGATTGTCTTTTATTTTAATGAGATAATACACATAAAGAGTTCACATAGTACAAGATATAGTGTTAAAATCTGAGAAACAGTGTTTATTATTATTATTAATATTATTATTGAAAGTTCCTAGAGATCAACCAAAGGACTTGTATGCATGCATATAAGCATAACCAATAGACACAAGACACTGGGGGGTAAGGGAGACAGGAGGAAAGGTCAAGGGGGGAAAAAAGGAGACATATGTACTACTCTTTGTAATACTTTAAGCAATAAAACAAAATTTAAAAAAAGAAAGAAAGTTCCTGTATGAACAAACCATACATTCAGCCTTAATTACCAAGAAAATAGGCAAGCTCTGGCTTGCCTATTGGTTCAGTTGGTTGAGTGTCATCCCATGTACCAAAAGGTTGCTGGTTCGATTCCCAGTCAGGGCACACGCCTGGGTTGTGGGCTTGGTCAGGAGGCAGCTAATCAATGTTCCACTTCCACATTAATGTTTCTCTCTCTCTCTCCCTCTCCCTTCCTCTCTAAAAATAAACCAATAAAAATAAATTTTTAAAAAGAAAATATCCAAGTTTGGTTCTCAAAGTCAAATGACCTCCCACAGAGCTTGAGAATTTTCTTCCTTCTTCCTGGGGTCTCTGTTCTGAGCTTGGATCAGAGGTTTTGCACTATTTGATGAATCCAGTCTCCAGTCCTGACTCCTGGCTCCTCCTTCCACTTCCTCTACTGACCCCGGCACCTCTGCTCTTCTAGCCAGACAGGGATGAAACAGCAGAGCTCCGCCGGCCTCTTCTAACATCCCCTGAACACTTCTTCATACTATTTCCCCCACCCTTCCTTTATAAAATAACAAAAAAGTAAACTTCAGTCCACGCCCGGTATAGATAGATGATGGCAATTTCTCATTGAATGGAATCAAGTAAATGACTGATGACACCTTTCAACTGTCAGATAGTGATCGGCGCTGTGAAAACCAGGACGGAGCCAGAGCCTGGGGCGGAGAGGGGAGAGGAAGATCAACACAAAACAGTGCCGCCCCCTCCCCCCCCAGAAGCATCACAGAAATGGGGACAAGGTACAACGCGGGGAGAGGAAGTCCCACAGGGACAGCCGTCCTCACCTGCAGTGACCACTGGGCACCAGGCACAGTGCTGGGCATTGCAGGTGTTTTATCTGGGCTTTACCAGCAGGCAAATACCATGAACTGTGTTTTACAGATGAGAACACCAGGGGCTCAATAAGCCACGGAACGGCCCAAGCAACACAACTTTCCAAACAATGATTCAAAGCCAGGTCTGTGGGACGTGAAAACCCATTTCCTTTCCACCCTCCGTCACCCAGAGTCAACAATATCAAACACAACCCTGGATGGACAGGCTGTGATATCTAGGTGGTCCAGGAAATGATGGTCAGCTGGGGTCACGTACGACCGGTATGTGCCGCAGGGGATCATGGGCCCCCACCCCAGACAGGTGTGGCCGGGGAAGACCTGACTCTGACCGTGACCCCTGACCCCAGAAAGTTTATTCTCCTTTTACATGGACCTTATTTATTTTCACAGATGAACATAAAATTGGGTTTGACATCTCCCTATTAAATTGAAAATTGGAGGCACATGGAGATGAATTGCCTGAGCCCTCAGCAGGCTAGGGGCACAGCTGAGACCACAGCCCAGGTGAGGTGTCTGCTGGACAACATTGTCACCCTGGCGACTCGACCTCGACCCTCCTCCTAAGGGTGCAGAGGTGAGAGATCCCCTGAGCCTTCCCCCTCTTACCTCAGACCTGCAGCATCCTGATCACATGGGAACCTGTTGGAAATGCCAGTCTAAGGCCCCACTGATTAAGAAGCCCGCTGGAGCCCAGAACCCGAGTTTAACAAGCCCTCCAGCAGATTCTGACGCAACCGAGGTCTGAGAACCACTGAGCTATGGTGAAAACCGCTTCATCCTGTGCTGTGCCCACGTGGATGTAAAATCAAGGCAGCACGTTAACCAGTGCTCTGTCTCACATTTTCACTTCATCGTT